TAACATATTAAGCATTTAAGAGCCAACATTCTTTAATAACCTCATTTAGGGTACATTCATGTCACAGTCATTAGGATTTAGAGAAACTTACTATGACCCTCTCCAAGCCTACTCGTGCAATGTATAGGTAGCATCCCATACTACTACCTACACTTTGTAGAACCTGTCAAGAAACCATAATGAAATCTCACATGATGGGAAGTAAGCGTTTAACCGACATAGACCATGAGAGCTTGTCATGGAATCCGGTGTCATGAATCCCCACACCGAAAAGAGGTGGTCTACTTGCCTAAGGAAGACCGGTATATATAGCTTAATGGATCCACTAGCTTCCTATGCGGGCACATAGTTTATGGGATAAGGTAGACGATCATTGAAACTCATGCCTAACTGTCGGGGGAGTTTCCATCTAACCAAATCCGCTCGGTGCTTAGCCTACATTCCCATAGAATAGTTCATTACTTTGACATCATCACACATGAAAGGGTGCCATAAGCCTACCGATTCAAGGTACATTATTTAACACATGAAAGGGTGCCATAAGCCTACCGATTCAAGGTACATTTAGGAAAGCTCATTAACTCCTCTTGAAAGGGTGCCATGGGCCTACCGATTCAAGTCTCATCATTAACCTTTATGGAAAGGTGCCATAGGCCTACCGAATCCAAGGTTCATTACTTATCATTAATGGAAGGGTGCCATTAGCCTACCGATCCAAGGTTCATTATAAGCATGTGTGGAAGGGTGTCATAAGCCTACCGATCCAAGGATTCAACAATCAACAATAGAATCATTTATACAAGAAAATGATGCATAAGCCCTACCAATTCAAGGTATACTTTATATTGAAGAATCCTTCATATTATATCATCAACATTCATGAGTGTCATCAACACATCTCTGGATTTCCATACATCTCATAACTCAAACTTTAAAGCATCGATTCATCAATTCTCCATAGTTGGACATTTTGTCAAACACCTTGAAGGCATGTTATGGAATCAAAGAGCATGGAAAATAGGGTAGTAATTATGCAACCAAACCAGTGAACAACCTACAACAACACCTTTACATTCATAACATGATCACATTATCTTCATTGAATTCTCATTCGTATAATGTCATGGTAACACTCCAATTTCTCATACTATGCCTTTAAGGCCATAAGCCTCACATACCAATACACCATAAAATAAGCATGGGTAATGACATACTTCAACAATCTAAAGACCTTTAAACAAGTTTGATTCATATACATTCATTATCTAGCAACCCACTTCATAAAGGCATAAACTAGGAATAGAGAGAAATCATGGGTTCATGGAGTATTTTCATCTTAAATCGTCAATACAACAACAATATAACCATAAAGTGTCATTAGAAACCTTTTAAAACCATTTGGTGGAAGAACCCATGAGATTAAGTGAAAACCTAGATTTTTCATACTTTGAAATAACTTTGGATTTGGCTCCTTGAATGGAAAATTAGACAAGGATCAAGACCACCATACCTTTGCTATGATCTCCCACGAATTTTGATGAAGAAAGCCTTGAATCCAAAGCCCTAGCTCCCACTTCTTCTTCTTCTTAAATGGAGGATTGTAGAGAGGGAAATGTTTTTAGGGATGGGAATGAACTAATGGTATATAGGAAATAATATAAGTCCTTTGAAAAAAATGGTCCAACACTTAGAAAAAATTTCAGGCGGGTGAACAGTAAATGAATAGTAAAATCAGCTACTGGAATTTGCCTTTTTCTGCCGGACAGATTTTACGAAAATGGGCATAACTTCTTCGTCCGAACTCCGAATGAGGTGAAATGAAGTGAGTTAGGTAGCTAACTCAAAGGGATTTCCATGGATATATTATTGTCCACCCAAATAATTTGTGTGATAGGAGATATGACCCTCCAAAGTAGACCCTCGAAAAAGGCTTCACTTGAAAATTTCGGATTTTGATACGGTTGCTCTAAAATTTGGGTTAGACCCATTTCCCACTCAATTTGACCCCCTAAACAAGAATATGAAGTCGGATTTTCGAAAAACGAAACGGATCTTTTAATATACAGCTAAACAAGTTTCCGGTAACTTCCGAAGCACATTTTTAAGAACTTTTGGGTCAAATTCAAATATAATCATTTCATTAAGTTCTCGACTCCAAACTCACATGTGAGGCTCTAGTTTCACTCTATCATTTTCCGAGTCGTTACAGTCAAGGTAAGTGTTTTCTTCAAATTTCCTTTCAAGCCTATATCTTGTTTTAGCATTCCAACTCGCATACTCGTATATTCAATGTATTAATGTCAGTTAGCCTGCATCTTCTTATGATGCAGACGCAGGTAACCAGGATCAGCATCTAACGCCTCGTTGATCCAACTTGAGCACTCAGAGTCTATGGTGAGCCTCCTTGCATTCGGAGGACTCCTTTATTTGCTTTCTAGTTTTGTTCATTAGGATGTTGTGGGGATTGTCCCAACATTCATCTCAGTTGTTAGAGGCTTCATAGATATTCAGTTATTAGTTCTTTAGTCTTCTCATTTTTTTCATATGCTAAGACTTGAGTTGCCATTTTGGCCATGTTGAATGTTGACCATTAAACATTCTGAGTTATTTCACTAAAGTTATTTGAGTAAGTTCATTTGATTATAGTAAAATGTTTAGAGTCTTCCGCTGAGTCAATAAGCCAGGCCAAGGGTTCTCTTGGGGGCCAACAATGGTCTTCGAGTGCCAGCCACGTCCAGGGTGTAGGCTTGGGGCGTGATAGGAATACTCCCTCCGTCTCATTTTATCTGAGGTAGTTTGACTCGGCACAGAGTTTAAGAAAGAAATGAAGACTTTTAAAACTTGTAGTCCAAAATGAAGAATAGAAATTTGAGTTGATGTAAATCATTTCATTAAGGATAAACTAGACATTTTATAGTTAAATTGTTACTTTATATGGAAACGTGTCATTATTTTTGGGACTGACTAGAAAGAAAAGTAAGTCACATAAATTGGAACCAGGGAGTATAATTCTTTCAAAGTATCGCAAGTTACCAGAGAGGGAGGGAGATAAAGAGAAAGAAAAAGTACACAATTGATACAAACACACAGTAAAATACAAGAAAAATGTTATAGGGGGGCGGGGGAATAGAAAGAGAGCAAATATATAACCAATGCGAACACACAAATTAAGCAAAATACAAGAAAAAAAGATCAGAAAGGAGAGATGGAGAAAGAAAATATATAATTTATACAAACACACAGAAAAATATATATAAAAAATGGCTATAGAGAATGAGGGAAAGAAAGATAACAAATATACAAACACACAATAATATACAAAAAAGAGAGAGAGTGAGGGGAGAGAGGGTTAGGGAGAGAGAGGAGGGGGAGAAAGATGCTAGAAAAAGTGAAGTGTAATTATAATGTACTATTTCAAAGTGAAATTATGCAGAATAAACACATAGCACGTGATTGTTATACTAGGTAATTTATTTATTTTTTACCCCTCCCTACTCGATCTAACTAAAAAAATTTAACTCCTCTTTTACTCAGCCCAACCAACCTATGTTATAATTCAGTAATAAAAAAAATGGAAGGAGTAATTTCTTAAAAGGCACGTAATATCTTTGAAATTAAGAAATCTGTTCTAGAATTTTATTGATTCAGTAAATATAACCATATAGGTACATTGATGAAAAGGATAATTCTACACCATTCATTAAACGATGGGATATATATGTATCATTTTTTGACGAGGGATATAGCTTGCCTCTCTAATCACAAATTTGAGGAATATATATGCCCCTTTTCTCCTTTTCAAATAAAATTTATATATTTAAATGTTACATAGATAAAAAGTACCATAAATTAAGACTTGGAGAAATTAAATTGTAGACTAATGCATGCAACAATGAAAATATACATAAGATTAATGGAGAAGCATTCACAATCCCAAAATTAAAAAGAAAAATCTCAAGGTATAACTGTTATATATACATCTAAGTGTTGGATTGGAGCATTTTAATATTATACAATTATAGTTAAGATGCACATTCCATTTGCCGAACGTTAGTCTCTTTTGCATTATCCTTGGAACAATGTATTAGGAGGCTTAATTACATTGATTGTGCCATTTCTGACATTTTCATTTGGTGCACATTATTGTGCCATTGTGCAACTCTACATTCTGCCCGTTAGTGGCATTCTTCATTCTGCTCGTTAGTGGCATTGGATGCACTCACTTTATTTCACACTTTATTCCCCATTATTCTTTGTAACCTATGTAACTCCTAAGGCCATTATCTTCACTATTTACTACCCTATTATCTTCTTATTCATTGCTAGGAAGACTTCTTGTAGTATAAATAGTGATGGTCTTCATTTGGTTTGTGGCACACAACACATAAGAAAAATATAGAGTGAAAGAGTTAGTCAAAAAGAGAGTTCTTATTAGTTGAAGGGAGGTGTTCTTTTTGTGGAGCTTTGGACTCAACTCTTGTCCAGAGTTGTTGAGTTATATTTTGTGATTAGGTTGTTATATCCTGGAGGGGACAAGTCAAGAAGGACTACTGCTGGACCGGTGAAAACATTTGTTGCAGTGGGCTTGAATCTCCTTAAAGAGAGCAAGATATCTGCGCCTCAGCCTGAAGAGATTTATTTTCTTCATATTTATTTTCAATTGTAATCTTGTATTTTTGTTATCTTGTAAGTTTTCACTAACACTAAGTCAACTAACTCACATAGTTTGGCCCAATATTTTATTCTGATATCAGTTGGTTAAACTTCAATTTGGCCTAATATTCCTTTTTGACGATCAGTTGCTTAAGTAAGTTTAAAGGAGGCTGCTATTTTACATATGGAAGATTTGGTGGAGTCTTAATGTCACAACCTAGATCGTCGTGAGTGGCACCCACACTAACTCTCCGGTGGGAGAACCATTACTACAACCCAACCACACAACTTAACAAAAAGATAGGTATTTAAAGATACGAAAGCAGGTTTAAATGTCTAAAGACGGAGGGCATGACAAACTTACCTCAGTTCTCAATCGGCGCCGGCAGAGGTTTCGGAGGTTTTGGAGGAGTTGTGTCACCGTCGTCGTCATCGTTGGCCGGTGACGGAGTTTCGGCTAATAACGATCGCAACATGCAATCGGCTGAACAGCTAGTGCTTGATTTCAGCAATCCTGAACTTGGTGAAAATGCTCTTCTAGAGCTTTCTAACAAAAGGGAACTTTTCTAGGATTTGGCCCCTTTATTGTGGAACTCATGTGCTACTATCGCTGCTCTGCTACAGGAGATAATTTCTATCTACCCTGTTTTGTCGCCTCCAACTCTGACTCCTGCACTATCCAATAGAGTTTGTAATGCACTAGCACTTCTTCAGTGCGTAGCCTCTCACCCTGACACCAGAATGTTGTTCCTCAATGCACATATTCCTTTGTATCTGTACCCCTTTCTTAATACAACGAGCAAGTCAAGACCTTTTGAATATCTGAGACTTACAAGCTTAGGTGTCATTGGTGCCCTTGTGAAGGTGGATGACACTGCAGTTATCAGTTTTCTTCTTTCAACAGAAGTAATTCCGCTGTGCTTGCGCACGATGGAGATGGGGAGTGAATTATCGAAAACTGTTGCAACTTTCATTGTGCAAAAAATCCTTCTAGATGATGTGGGTCTGGATTACATCTGTACCACAGCGGAAAGGTTTTTTGCAGTTGCCCAAGTTCTAGGGAATATGGTCGGCACACTTGCTGAACAACCTTCGTCAAGATTGCTGAAACACATAATTAGGTGCTATCTTCGTTTGTCAGATAATTCAAGGGCATGTGATGCACTGAGAGGTTGTCTTCCCGATATACTTGGAGATACCACCTTCCAAAGTTGTCTTCGTGACGATCCAATGACGAGGAGGTGGCTGCAACAACTGCTCCATAGCGTTAATGGGAATCGGGTTGCTCTACAGGCTGGAGGATTTGATCATATGCTGTGAACTGAATTTCATACAAATAGAACTTAAATAAGACTTCCTAGTCTTCTGTTGTAGCACTTTAGAATGCATTTATGCGCTCATATTTATTTATGTAGTCCATTATGTGAATAATTGTGAAGATTATTATTAGGAGATTAAGAATATTATTGAACTATTTTGCAAAAAAAAAAAAAAAGTCTAAAGAAAACTGGAGTTTCCATAAACTCCGAAAGTTAACAAAACAAACTATCAAACATTGCGGAAAACAACTGCTAGAACCTAAAAGTCAATGTATCAAAATATCTAAAGTGCAACAAGTCTAAGAAAAAGGGTACAACCCCAACCAAACATAAAAAAAAACATCTAAACAATAGTCTAAGTCCGAAGAGAATGAACTAAACAAAATGGAGGACTCCATGGCAGCCTGAAAGAACTGGCTCACCCTTGAAATTCGGTCTCGATCACTAATCTCCTAGCTAAGGTCTATCAGTAGTCACCTGAAGATGCTCTTTACTCAACAAAGAACGAACAAGTGTAGTATCAGTACACAACCACAATGTACTGGTAGGATGATGCGGCTATTCCAGTAAGCAAAACATATATAAGCAGTCACAGTAAAGTAAACATGACATGTACAGAACATATATACACATTGGTTATGATTTCAGGAGCAATGTACAATTACACATTCTCAATAACAAGTAGATATGACAATTCAATGGTCCTCTCATGGAACCTATACCCAAATTGTTAGTGTGCCGGAATATGACACCCACTTCATTATAAGTTCCGAAACGTGACACCCGATCCCAGTTAGTGTGTCGAAACGTGACACTTGGTCTATTCAACACAACCACATCATAATCATACTATCAAGTGTTGAATCATGACATACATTTGTTCATTCATACTCATTTCATTAGGTTCGATCAACAAGGCTTCATTCACATACATACATGCATGCATTACAATGAGGCAATTACCAACATACATCGCACAAGCATGAAATCAAACCATCACCTACCTCGAAACCAAGTGTGAATCCCCCTAAGGCACTTGAATCTTCCTTTTCTGGATTCTTTCCGCTTGTTCGTGGTCTAAAAACAACAATTTAATGCAAGGATCAATTAATTAAGGTCTAATTACCCAGATTATAACAAACCCAATAACCCAAGACCAAACCCATGATCCTAAGGTGCAGCTAGGGCTTTTTCCCACTATCAAATTCAGCCCAAAACTCTCCCCCAATAACATTTAACCAAGAAACTACGTTCTATGGATCAAAAAACGGATTAGGTGACTAAAATCCTTACCAAAGCACCAAAAGTCGTGAAAACTGTCAAGAAATCGCCTGGGATCGTCTCTTAACTCTCAAGAATGAAACTTGTAGAAAAATAACATTTTGAGGTTTTTTTCCCTGACTTAATTCGCGACTGAGCCACTACGGCGAACCCCATCCCGCCACAGTGGCCCCGCCCTGGCGGGAATAATCCCGCCACAACGGCTTACACTGAGATAGAGAGTCAGAATTTGAGTTCCAAACCCCCATTTCACAACACACGTTCAACCCATGACGTTCAAAAACTACCCTTTCACGCTAAGACCAGTTTTAGGAGTTCTACTAGCCCAAATTCGATTCCGTAAAGTCGTACGGGGTCCTTAACGTATTAGCTATCTACTCATGTAATCAAATTCATTATTAAATCTCTCATTCATTACCAGATTTCTCTAGATCTCGCATGACTCAGATTTCATCCAAATCTGGACTAGGCTAGGAATTTTCAAGTCACTACCAAAAAGTTTTCTGGACCAAATTATTTTCCCATTGTCTTTTCTATAATGACGGGAACAGGTCGTTACACTTAATTTGTAAGATGGTGGTGACAGTTGTGAAGGTTTCTGAGAGAAGGGGAAGACTAGTTTTGCAAATAAATAAATTAAAAGGGAATCTTAGTTTGTGGTAACGCCACCTAGGCGGACCTGGAGTTCTCTTTTATATATATACTAGATAAGTATGGCCCGTGCTAACACGGGCCCAACTTGAAAGTCAATGTATTCTTCATTTGTTTGTCTCAAACATTGAAATTAAACAACAGAAGTTTACACAATCTGAATAACTCAAAATCATTTGCAAATACTTAATATCTGACTGTATAAGGAATTGTAGAAGCTGCAATTATTAGTTCAACACAATTAAACAAAATATCTAGCGCTCCAATCCCTCCATTGATTGACTACAGTAGAACCATGAGAACTTTTTGAATCTAAACCAATTGTTTATATACGATATTAGTTAGCAAAAAGAAAAAAATCAAGTAAACATATGAGTAACTAAAACATGCTATAAAGTAGGCAACGTCGCAGTGACAAATCATTAGTGTGGATATATTTCTTTAACGGCATAAAATGTTGCAATACACGTACATGAATCCTTTTGACACTTGAATGGTCAATCTTCCATGACAGTTTGGGTAGATTTGATCAGCTTACTTGTCCAACAACTGCAACTTTCACGTATCCAGATTCATCCCATTATATGTTTACCATTTCACTCAGAAATTAAAAGCTTTCCAGACATTTAACAGGCTTTCTTCAGCCACCAATAAACAAACAAAGCACGAGACTGTGAAACAGCCAGATAGACTTAACAGAATCAGGCTTCAGTCTCAATGAATTATTGCGTCAGGTTTATGTTTAGAATCAAGATCGAAACTTTCATAGTTATGGCATTTTTACAGAAGCTAGTGGAATGAAGAAGATGAATAAGGAACAAGATAAAAAGCAAATATGGAGTTCACAAAGTTTCAGACAACATTTTGATATACAAAAGGTCAACAAATCACGTGGAAAGATTATCACCGCAGATCTCTTAAGTGATAGGATTAAATCAGAGCTGTAAGAGACACATAAACACAACTATTAGAAAGATAATTTCAGATTTCTCTACATATTTACTTCTTTTGCAACTGATCATGAAGCTGTGCCACTGCTTTCCTTTCTACCCATGACAAACTGTCACTTTTACCATTAGGAATAAAACTTGTTTTTCTTCTATGCGTCCAACATTTTTTATTGGAAAATGCGAATAAAAAATTCAGAAGCAACATGGAAAAATAAAACTTTATGATGGAAAAAGAACAGAGGAAGCTCATATACTATTAGTCAAGTGTTAATGTAGAATCTTAATTGTCATTAAATAAGTTAAAAGAAAAAAAAAAACCAGTCCAACTATATTCCGCGGGTCTGTTCGATTACGCTAACAAAGGGATTTTACTGTGATGTCGTAGTTATTAGGAGTGTGTGCTAATGGTTGTGGACAAAAGAACAGGGTAGTTTGGTAAGAGCACTCAAGCTCTATGTAATACGATAGCGGGTTTACGTTGGATTGGTAGACTTGAAGTGGAAACCGCTGGAGACTAACCATTGAGAAATAAAAACTAAAGAAATTAACCACCAAAGCATAGGAGAAAAAGTAAGAGGTTGAGACTCACAACAAATCAGTATAGAACCTGGTATCTTGACTTGCCTGTATGAAATGTATCTAGTTGTTCCCCCATCCTCGAGTTCTATAATATTATACATGAGTTGATTTATCTGTAATGTTATACATGAGTTGAGTTCTATAAGCAGCAAGCCAACAACCTTAATTCCGTTGCAAGAACAAATACTTATCAATTAAAAAAAAAAACACGATTGAACTAAATCCAAGAATTTTTTTCAAGAACAAAACTTCCCCAACTTTTCAGGTGCCAAACCATCTTGTTTCACATAAATCAACTCATGTATAACGTTATAGAAACAAATAATCACCAAATTAAAAAAAAAATGAAAATTATAACGGAAACACTGAAATAAATACAGAGGAAAGAGCACATATTGTGTGTTATTTTGTGCAGGATAAATCTGCAGCCATAGAAAAGATAGTTGGACATATGCTTGTCACAACATCTTCGCTAATTAGAGATAATTAGAGCATATGTCCAACTATTGTTGGTCAGCCTCCTCCCAGTATATTCACGACATCTTTGGTAATTAGAGATTACGGCAAGACGAATATATATCATACCTTCGTCTTTTCTCCAATCTGAAGACCCTGATCGGCAATAATATTCTAGAATCAGAGAATCTGTACGGGAATTAAGACTATGACTGAACTAGTCAAGTACATTAAGAGAAATTTGAGCAAGAAGAGAGAGAATTATAACTTAAATAGTACTAATAGACAAACAAAGCCAAGTAAGTGTCATGGCCTTTACGTCTTTTTGGATAGCTCTAACACCCATCACCAAGGATGCAATTGAAACTAATCCATCATGGGCTCCTAGAACAATGGCTCGAACCCACTGTGTTCTTTGAGGATAGTCAAAATCCTGCTCTTGTGGGCATTATGATCTTTAGGAATGGTAATTTGGACTTGGTTTTGATCAGTCATTGAGAAAGTTATAACTACTTGTTCGTTAAAGAAGCAATTTGTTATTAACGATTAAAGATGGGTGTTGTATGAATACTCAGTCAGCTCTATTAATAGAGTAGGATGATCAAAAAATTAATTAAACTATTCCATCAGTTATAACTACATTTATTGCTTTCTTCATTGATGGTCTGCTAGCTCAAATCTTGCATTTGTTCCCATAACACAGAGAAACAAAGAAAGAAACAGGGAGAACACTTGTGAATGTAATTTAGAAATTCTTGTTTTGTGTTAAATTTTTTGGTTCAATGATTAACACTGAATCAAGTATACTTTGTGCAAATGCTTCTTTAAAATGAACTTCTCCTAGTAATTAAAGTATATTCTCAGCCGATGATAAATCATAATCTGTGTTACGGCACACACATGTGAGCTCTTAGTGCGAGTCACCTACTTACAATTCTTAGATTTTTTCTTACCTTGAATTACTTCATATATTCTTTGTATTGAAGGAGGCAAACAGAATACAACAACATGAATTTATGAATAATGAAAAATGGTAAAATTCACATGCTACATCTGATAAAATGGGTGACCGAATGCAAGAGTTTTCTACCCTAATAGGAAGACTAATTTGCACCATTTTACTTTTGAAGTTCAATAACTTGCAAATGCACAAACTTTAGTCCTTAAATCACTTAATAGAAAAATGAAGACATATTTTAAGTTACTCTGATTGAAAAGGAGCATCTAATTTGTTGA